AAAAAGTGTTATTTTATTTTTATACATTGTTATTTATGTTCCATTTCGTCAGTAGTTCATCCAACCTTTTCGCAAGCTGACAGCAATAGCCAGCCCGGAAAGTGGTATCTATTTCCATTTATTCTACGAAATCGTTCACTAATTTCATCTTTTGTCCTAATGAAAGGCGCGAAACTGGGCCGCATGATTGTCCTGGCGATAGACCTTAGGCGTTACCGTATTCCACTTCACTTCTTCTGCTAACTCATGATAACAGTCATTTGAACACCAGAACAAGTTTAGAGTTTTCTTTTACTTTTTATGCACCCTTATTATTACCTTATTTTGATTACATTGGAATAGTACTTTACAATATTCGTGCACCTTTTTCACTTTTTTCTCTCCATGAACCCTATTGTCTTTTCTCATTGTAAGATCTGCACAAACTAGTTCTCCACCTCAATGAATATCAGAAATTTCCATCGATCTTCTATCTAGCCACATTACAGCAAGTCTAAATCTATTCCAGAAATTTAATTTTTGTTTAGTCATATCACTAAGCTCTGCGAGAACCTATTTTCGCCTCCACATAGCATTGTTCTTTTTGGTTGAGCACGGATGGGAATTACACTAGCTTTGGTTGTGTCCTTGATAAATATACTAACAAATATATGACTACAAGTGCCTCCAAGCCAAGATTCACATGAGGAGGCTAGATTACAATATGTCCCTATCACTCTAATTCAAGAATATATTAGTCGTCGAGTGTATCGAACGTCTTATATTTTATTAAACATATAATTTTTATATATATATATATAGTCTTTGCTTGTCTTGGTTCCAATAATAATCACTTCTCTGTACTTTTAGCTCACTCTTTCTCTCTCGCATTGAGACCAAAAACAAAAAAAGGCTTATAAACATAACCAGGCGTGTGTCCAACCTTGCGCAATCGGAGTGATGGTTATAACTTAATTGTAGAAAGCGGGAGATAAGTATCATCAAACCTTGATGGCCAACAGGGGCCAACAGGTTTTATATATATATATATATATCAGCCATTTCAACATTAAAATTTAACGTTTATGTTGCGGTTATCTCAGACATACAACTTAACCGTGGTAAAATATAGCAAAAGGACTTCTGAAATGGGAGGCTAGACAACTAAATCCATCATTGTGTTCGCTTTTCGATGAGACGGATTTTGTATCCAGAATATATTGCAATCAAAATACTATAGTATGAAATGTATTCATCCTATTTCGTTTAAGGTGGTGAATGACCAGTAGCTGAAATTTCCCACTATGCTAAGAATAAGCCTCATGCTTTGCTTCCCAAAGGGTATTGTCATCAATTGGGAGTCGAAACGTCAGTCCGTTGCTGCTAGATGAGAATACCTTATGGGCAGGCAATGCTATATGAAATTCAATGGAAACGTAAGATCTATTCATAATATTGTGAAAAAATTTAACTGCCAGTCGCATTAGTAACTTAAACGAAATAAGATCAATACATCTACTGGTAGTCTCAAAAATTTACTTATAGACGAAAAATATGCTAGCGTTGTCCCCGGGATACACTTTTTGCTAAGGGTTTTACGCCCTCGTGTGATTCCTGTTTCCCTTTCCGAGTTCTAAATTTGTGTAAATTTGTAAAAAGGATATGCCACTTTGAAAAGGTAGGAGCAATAGAATAGCCGTGGTCAAGTCCGGGACTCGTACAGTTGTTGATTTGCTTCTCGAAATGATGAAGCAAAATGTCTCTTATTTGTCATCCTTCACCTGCTCTTCTTCCGCTTGCCGTCAGCAGCATTGGTAGATTTATTTAGGCTTATTACTATCATCAACTGGGAGATAATGAGCTTCCGAATTTCGTCAAGCCTTATCATCTGTTGAATAAGCTCCTGTACTGAACAGCTTACTAATTATTGACACTGACATTTTTCTACAGACGAACGCACCAGCTCAGGGGATATCATTTGATTGAGACCGATTCACTGTGCCAAAGCTGCCTTTTCAGACTAACTGCTCTCACGAACTTCAATTATTTTTCCCCTTACTTTGAATAATGCTGCCAGGAAAGTATACTGAATAACTACCATAACCACAAAAACTTGTTAATTTTCTCTTAACTTATGCTGATGACAGAAAGGCGACAGCATCATCGAAAATCCAAATTAGGTCTTTTGCCTGCATGAGGGTTGATCATCCAATAAAAGTATGCACTAACATAAAATTTATTTGCATATAAAAGTGGGCAAATGCACAGTCACTGCTATTGTGTCCAAGACCCTTGCCAATACGGAGCATGATTACAGTTTTCTGAGCCTAAGAGTCCACTTTGGAATATTTTTTCTGTCGAACCAGAGCTGGGGTCAGGGGAGAGGGTATAAGAGGCGTCCTCTTTGACAAGTTGAAGAGGCCGTTGGGCAAGTCTTCACAGAATGTACACGCCCTGAATTTCGGCTGCGCCTAGATTGAGGTGAACCTGTACATATTCTGATCCGCTTCTACTGAACGCCGACTCGCCTCCTTGGCCTATACTCGATGGGAGGCGAAGGTCTATTCTGCTAACCACAGCACCGGAAGCGCCTAAGTTGGGAACAGCAACGCCGACGTTACTCAAGACGATGGTGACAGAGGCGCAATACCTACTGTCTGGAGTACCGTAGAGGCAGGCCAGAGCAGACAGGAAGACTAAGCATGCTTTCGCGAGCCGTGGTGAACATCGGCTAGAGACATGAGGCCGAGGCTGGCTGGTGATCTGATCTGACTGGGCAGAAAGCCCCGCCTGCCGAGGCCGATACAAGATTGTAGAATCAGACTCGCTGCCTCGAGAGTAAGACTTACGTCGGCAGACGAGCCGATCTGAGGGTTCACCTCGACCAGGTCCACACAGGT